ATTATATTGGTTTTTCATGTTACCTATTGTTTTTTAGTTGAAACTTAAATTAGAAACTTAGTTGTTCCTGCTGATTGAAGGTTACCTTTCATTTTTCAATGGTACTGTCTACAATTTAGGGGAAGGACTAGGCGGCAGCATGGTTGAGGTATCACTTTCCTTTGTTAAAAGACTGTTCAAGGTAGCCAGGCAGTAGTGGCGCACGCCTTTATTCCCAGCACCAGGGAGGCAGAGGCAGGTGGATCTCTGTGAGTTTCAGGCCAACCTGGTCTACAGAGTGAGTTCCAAGACAGCCAAGATTACAAAGAGAAACCCCATGTCGAAAAACAAAGATTTTTCAAGGCATCAAACTCTACAAACTACAAAAATAGACACTACCCAGGGGTAGACTTGCCCTGACTGTTGAGCTCATCAAGCATCTCCCACATTTCTTTTCTAGTTCCCAGAAGGCGGTCTTGTGCTAGCAGTTTATCTGAGTCTCCATCCTATGTGCTCTGTATCTGAGGACTCTAGATCAGTACCTGGGTCCGAATCTTGTTTTGGCTCTGACTCTGGCTTTGGTATGATATCCAGAAATCTCTGCAAGTGAGTGCCTAACTTTTGGAATGCGTTTCTAGCATTCCTACACTGAATAAATATTTGGTTTGCTGTTAGGTGTTCCCTGCCTTAGCTAGTCTTGGTTCAGTTAGGAGTATATAAATTTAGTCATGAAGATAATAAGTAGAGACAATTTATGGATGAAGTAGCTGAGTTAACCCGAATTCCAGTAGGTATCATACAGTTTCTGACCTGAGAGGTGTGTTTCCAAGATTAATCTTAAAATAATTATTTTGACAAATAAGTCAAACAAAAACACACATTATGTCATTTATATGACATTCTGGTATGTTGATTCATGTCTGTAATTCTAGCACTCAGGTGACTGAAGTAGCAGCATCACCATGAAGTTGTGGCCTAACAGCAAAGGTTTGATGGGCTCCAGTGGAGGCATCTGTATCCTGTGGCGGCTATATGGCTTCTCCCTGACTGTGCCTACTCTCTCTCTACATCTCTGTTCAGATTTTCCACCTGCCTTTTCTCTGTTAAGCCACTGGCCAAAAGCAGCTTTATTCATTAACAAATAAAAATAACACATATATAAGAGAACTTCCCACACCATTTCCCCTTTTCTGTTTAAATAAAAAGGAAGGTTTTAATTTTAATATAGTAAAATTGCATATAACAAAACAGGTATCAAGCAAGAATTATAGTTACAATATTTATATCTACTTTACCTTTTATCCTAACTAAAGAAAACTATAACTATAAATAGCTAGTCTTCAACTCCATCAAAGACCCCAGAAGGATATAATATTACCTAAGTTAACAGGAAGTGCATTGTAAGCAACTTGCAAAACTCTAGAATTGAAACATCTCGCTGCCTGGACAGTCACCCAAAGTTCTTCTACAACACTGGCGCATCCGATTTTCAGCCTACAGGCCCATAATATCCATCAGACTTTTCCATGAAGCAGGAAATTTCAGAGTCAGTTCCGCCTATATTGGCTGTTTGTCAGTCACTCTCTTCTTTGTCTTGAATGTCTGGCAGACTCTCTCATGAAGCCGGAACCCAAAGAACGATCTCACCTTTAGGTAAGTTCAGCAGTCATTTTTCTGTGGGTCCTGCATGTCCAGTTCATACACACAACATCAAGCAGTCCAAGCAAGAGCAGTTTCTTGCCCAAATGGCTAGCAAATCCCTAATGCCTATCTTTCTCTTGAACTAGATTTGTGCTGCAAGGAGCAGGTGTATCTCATTGTCATGAAAAGTCTTAAATTCTTAAAACATAAAATACCATATTCCATGGGTCTTTGAAAGGTTTGAAAATTATCTAACTAAAATATCTTTATATATCTAGAAAACCTAACTAATATTGACTACAAACTTGACTATTACAGATGACTATCTATTAACCTGTATTTATTAATTATACATTACATTTTTAAATGAGCTACACAAACATAATACCTTAATCAAGAACAGAAATATACATGTAACAAAAATGACCTTAAATTTGTATCAATAGACCAAGATCCATACCAAAGAAAAGTATTCATCTCTATAGCATATCCCCCTTTAAATGTAAAAAGAAAAAAATTATAAACAATATTTGAGAATTTGGGTGTAGTTCTCTCCAAACTGCTTCCTGTTTTTTGTTGGGCAAAGTAATTTCTGGGGGTGTTCATGGTGATCTTTCAAGGGTGGAGTCTTGCTCCATCAAAGCACAATAGTCTGGAAGGAATCCACAGGTTTTCATCTTCTGTGAAAACAAAAGTAGAACCTCCTTTTCCAAAGCAACATATCCTTAGAACCATATTTTGAAGTTAAGATACCTTTAAAATATATATGTTGGTTTACCGTAAAAGCCCATACAATGAAATGTCTCTGACTTAGCTCCTTCACAGTCAAAAAATTTAAAGAAAACATAATAGTTACACATAATCCAGACTCTGTGTATACGCCATCTGTACGTGGCTTACTTTTCTTAACTCGTTTAATCTAAGACTGCTTGTACTCTTTTATATTACTTTTACTGTCTCTTTTAATGACTTTACTTCTTTTTATATAACTGTCTATATTCTTTTCCTCTCTCTCCCAAGCCTACATACATTTTTAAACACATTCTATCTCGTTTAGAGGTCTTTTATGTCTGAATCTGTCCTATTGTGTATCTGAAATCCTTTTCTGACCAGGACCGCTTCTTAAACTGCTAAGCAGCATGCCTAGGACTAATGCTGCTTTGCCTTTTGGCTCTGTCCAGTCCAAAATAGCAGAGGTCTGTTTACTACCTCTGCAAGCCGCACACAGCACCCAGCTCCAGGGACTTGGTGGTTCTATGTTGCGCCACTAAACAATTTGTAACATGCTACTGACAGACCCCATTTAAGTGCAGGACCTCCCAAAAGAGCTAGAGTTCATTCTGCCAGCACAAACCAGGAAACCGTTTTTTAAAGAGGCTGTGCAGTGTTTGCTACTAAAGCTGAGTCAGGAAACCTTGTAAAATAGCCATGTCTCTGCTTGCCACCTGCAAACAGAGCCTATATGAAAAACAATGTGGCTAAACTTTGTTTTTTGTGTCTAGAATTCCTTTCCAAGTTCTCTCAGGTTTTATGTGGGTTTAGCTGGCACACGTTGGCATGCCAATCTGTAGACTCAAAAAAAGGGGGGGGGGGGATGGAAAGGAAAGGAAGGAAAGAAAACTGAGCAAGAACAGGATGAGAATTATCAAAACTAAAAATTGTAACAGACAGTAAAAGAGGACACCAATCAGTGGATACCTAGAAACAGACAAGGTTGATGGACTAGAAATGGTATAAGGAAAATTTCTAGAGGTAACAGCTATGTTTATATCTTAAGTATAGTAGTATTATACACCAGTAACTGTTAAAAAACAAATAAAAGACAATGTTAAGGAAATGAACTGTCAAGCTACACACAAAAAGAAACCCAAAAAAGGATTTATGCACAAGATATATAAGCAACCTCCAAAGCTCAATACTCAAAGAGAAGCAATGTTGTTTTTTTAAAAATGGGTAAAATAATTCATTAAAAAAATTAAACAAGGCTGAGGAGGGGTGTGACTCAGTGTTAGAAGACTTGCCTAGCATATGTGAGGCCCTCAATTCCGTCTCTAGGACCCTCCCTGACCATCCCCCAAAAAGTCTTAAATGAACAGCTAATAAGTGAGCAGAGGGGGAATGCTTAATATCATTAGTCACCCATGAATTATAAATTAAAAATACTTCATACTAACAATAATTAATAAATTTAAATGTGTGTCAGGACATTGTATAAGGCTGTAAAGCAACAACTTTTATAATTTCATATAAAGTATCCCTGACTTAAAGTACAACTATATATTTAAATATTTATCCAAAATAAATGAAAATATGAATTATCCTTTAATCTTAGAGGACTATTATATAAGATTTATTCATAATTACACAAACTGAAAAAGAAAAACCACATGTACATAAAAAGAATAAACAAATTGTTATATACACGTAACAATAAAGCAGCATCTCAAAATACAGAGAAATACTAAAGCACATGAAAACACAGAAAACTAGTAAAAACTTTCCAAGCATAAAGGTATATTAAGTACAGAAACTAGGCTCCTATGAATTCTACTGCATTGTTTACCCACCTACTTTATCACACCTTCAAGGACATAGACATTATAAATGTACCTATTACACCCTAAGCATATACACTGAAAGTGTATAATGAAAGAATGATCCTTTTTAATGATAGTAATACTTACCAATGAAAAAGAGTACTGCTCTGGCCATAACACCTTCTACATAGACTATTTTAACATAGCAAACCAAGCCAGCGCAGCTTAGCCAGTAAAGGCACTTGCAAAATTCAGGTGTTAGAAGGAGAGACCTGACTCCCATAATTCACCATCACATCTCCACATGCACACATGCACTCACATTCTACATTCACATTCCACACACACATACACAAACAAACAAGAAACATAATTTTTAAACGACTAAAAGGACAATACTGTAACAAACTATGTTGACTTTTCTCAAAGGGCCCTCAGTCAAAGTTCAACTTACTAATATTCCTAAATACTTTCAGAATGATTTGAGTATAACATAACTTTGGGTCAGACCAGGACAAGTACAAGCACTCCAGTCAGTTCTTGTCTAACATTTTCCTCATGAGTTTTTTTAAAGAACAAAACAAAACTTAATTTTGCATCCTTATTAATATATAAAAATAAATTAGAATTTAAATTTTCAATAGGAAGAAGTAAAAATGTCTCATCAAATCCCACATTGTTTTAATCTATAAAATAAAAATTTAATAGACCACAAAGAAAATGTAGCTCACAATCCCGAAGACAAAATCCTCAACGGGTTCTAGCTAGATAACTGATACCAACTGAGTAAGTGCCCATCTATTCTGACTTTTAAACAGTCTCAGATGCTACATGTAATCTTACCTGGGGAGGATAGTTGCTCTCTGAAGACCATCTGGAAGACTGGTCATTTGGTTTATCCACTAAAATGTTCCTGGAATAAAGAAAAGAAAAAGAAGCAATTAGTTAAAATAGTAAGTGAAAATCAATGGGCAAAAAAGGAATAACCCACTATTATCAAACTATTGAAACTAGCACAAAGTTATTCAGTGTTTGCAGTTTGAATGAGAACAGCATAGAAACCATAAAAAGAAACACAAATGGGCTGCAGAGATGGCTCATCTTAGGTTAAGAGCACTGGCTCCTCTTCCAAGGGTCCTGAGTCCAATTTCCAGCAATCACATGGTAAACCACAACCATCTATAGCGGAATCTGTTGCCTTCTTCTGGCATAAAGTTGACAGAGCACTCACATATATAAAATGAATAAATATTTTTTTTTAAAAAAGTAGTACACAAAGCCTCTAGTAAATTCAAGATTAAAAAAAAAAACAAAACAAAAAACAAAACAAAACAAAACCATTGAAAAGAATACTTGGCCAAGAAGGAGCCAACCAAGAAGTATGAAAGAAGCTAGAGGACTGGAGAGATGGCTCAGAGGTTAAGAGCACTGATTGCTCCTCCAGAGGTCCTGAGTTCAATTCCCAGCAACCACATGGTGGCTCACAACCATCTATAATGAGATCTGGTGCCCTCTTCTGGACTGCTGGCCAGAATGTTGTATATATAATAAATAAATAAATCTAAAAAATTTAAAAAAAAAGAAGGTTGAAAAGAATAGGAACAAAATAAAGGCGGTAGTATGCAGTTATAACAGAAGTATAAAATAATACCCAGAATCCATACCACTACAAATAACCCTAATATAACTATAAGAAAAACATCACACAAACTCAAACTGAAAAACTTTGAGTAAAATACATGACTAGGATTCTTCCAAACACTGTTAAGTGGGGGAAAAAAAAAAAAAGAAGGGATGGAGAGATGGCTCAGTGATTAAAAGAACTTGTTCTTGCAGAGGATTCAATTGTTTGTCAGCACTCACACACAGAGGATTACAACCATCTATGACCCCAGCTCAGGGGACCTCAGGTGCTCTTCTGACCTCCACAGGCACTGGACACACATGTAGTACATATATGTGACCAAAACACTCATATACATAAAATTTTTAAATACATATTTTTAAAAATTTAGAAAACAACAAACAAAATAACACCAACAAAAAAGGAAGACTGGAAACATTGTCATGTATCAAGAAGTGAAAGGAAACAAGGCAACCAAATGGCAATGCTGTGTCTTGAATGCGACCCTACATGAATAAGAAACATTTCTGGGGAAAGTAGTGAGATTGCCTGCATGTTTGCATGCACACAATGTGCATGTCTGGTGCTCACAGAGAACAGACCACAGAACTAGAGTTACAGATGGTTGTTAGTCATGATGTGGGTGCTAAGAACTGAACTCAGGTCCATCGTAAAATAAACAAGTGCTTTTTAACCACTGAGCCATTTCTCTAGCCCCATGTGAAGAAATTTTTAAAAGAAGACCATAAAAAAGAACTATTTTCATTTACATATTCCACAAAGATTAAGGCAAATATAGAATTCAAAATTAATTAAAAAGAAATCAATGAGAACAAACAAAATATAAAAATATAAAACAAAATACAAAAGGTAAATAAAAATCTAAACATTTAAATTACTTAAATCTAAAAAATCACATAATAACAGGCAAAATATCAAACACATAAAGCCAGTATTAATCCAAACACTGGGGATTCAAAACATACATCTGCCCTTAACAACTGGGGCCATATCATCAAAGACAAATATTTCTGAATTAAAACATCAACTGCTAGCTAAAGCTAGCAAACTGTTACTCTGTTTTGCTGGTAGGTATGTAAATTAATTTTCAGGAAACAATTCTAACATACTCTACAACAAAAACAATAAAAATATGCATAGTTGTAAAATGAAAATGATGAAAACAGCCATGATAATATGGGTCTAAAAATCTGGCTTGTATAAACTATCCTCTTTTAAAGTATATATTTAGAAACTGAACACAGAAAAAAGGATCTGCCTAAATATAGACACCTAAATAAGGATTTGAAGTCATGGAATCTAACTACTTCTTAGAACTTAACCTACAAAATTATCTAGAAGGTATTAATCATTCACAATAATCATAACACAATTTAAAGCAATTTGTAAGAAGCCTAACAATTGAGATTAGGTAAAATATGAAATGTTTATGTTACACAACACCAAGTAAAATTATATACAAAAAACTTATTTTAATTAATCATCGAAAAAGGTTCACTACATAGTAGTAAGTAAAGGGCAAACATTATTTATACATGTAAGAAATCAAGTATTATAAGAAAACAGCATTCATATATGAAGCTGTCACATCTTTCATTCAGGGTAGCATGCATCATCTTCATCCTATACAACAGCACACAGGAAACAAGTTAATCTCAAGAAAGAGGAAGACAGTAGTTACCAGGGCCTATGGGAACTGTGGAGAAAGGAAGGATGGAGAGAGCATAGTTAACAGGTACAGGGATGTAGTTTGTTAGGAAGAATACCTTCTAATGTTCAATAAAGCAGAGTAGAACAACTACCGATTACAACATTTAATATTGAAAGTCATTAGAAATTTGGATGTTTCCAACAACAAAAAAATGACAGCTGCCAGGCAAGGCAATTCCTATGATCTAAGCATTACACAGTGCATACTTGTACTGAAGCACACTGAGTTCCACAAATACGGACCGTGACTGTTAGTTGGCTGGTTTTGAGAGCAGAAAACTCAAGCTCTGTAGCCTAGGTTGAGCTTTAATTCCTAGGAATTTTTCTACATAAGCCTTCCAACTGCTACGATCACAGCCATGAGCCACTATGCCCCCAAAATATATTTTCAACACAAGCAGTGAAATAACCATACTCACAAAGACAGATATGCACATTTTCTCACATATGCAGAATTTAGAATTTTAAAAGGGATGATAGTAGAAAAGGATAATTTGGCGAGGACGAAAGGATGGACACAGTGTCCCCTTCTCATTCAAATGATAACAAGATATACAAGTAGGGCTCTAAATAAGATAATCGTACACTGCTGCAAGTTGTTGTGGAATAATCTCTTTGCATACCGTGAAGATATGTCTTTTCAAGGCACCCTCTGAGTGGTTTAATAAAAGTTAAAAGGCCATTAGCTAGGCAGGAGGTATAGGCAGGAGAGCCAGACAGGCGAACACTCTGGGAAGAAAAAAAGGGCAGATGAGACAGAACAGACATGCAAGAAGAAAAGTAAAACTCACAAGTCACGTGGCAACACATACATGATTAGAAATGGGTTCATTTAAGTTATAAGAGCTGGTTAGAAACAAGTCTAAGCCATCGGCAGAGCTTTCATAATTAATAAGAAGTCTCCGTGCATGTATTTGGGAGCAGGCTGGCGGGACAGAAATAACTGCCTGCAGCAAATGTTAAAAAAAATTAGAGTTCTCAAATGGAGTTTAAAACTTAACATACACACACTCCTCTGGAAAAATGCTAATTACATTAATTAGAAAAAGCTACTTATGTAAAAAGAAAAGAAAAGTCTATTCTTTACAAAGGAATGAATAAAATCAAATCCTGGCAACAGCAAACATGGGCTCCAAGATGTAGATAAACACAGGAAATTTCTAAGGGAACTGGACCATATTCACATGCTGATCCTGGGTGTCTAATAGTCTCTAACTCTGTGAAAGACAGACCCAGAAAAGGACATGCAGGGAACGGGGGAAAGGGGGCTCTGCAAAGCAAACAAAATGAGAACTCAGTGGGCAGAGGTCTGAGTGACACAGCCTTCAAATCACATAACTGTAGATACTAATAGAGTCCTCTTCAGAAAACACAGAAAGACAAAGAAAGGGGAAGGGGGAAAATGTTGTACTATCTCCATAAAAGTAAAAGTGATAGTCTGTAAAAATACCTTGTGTCTTAAAGGCGGGGCCTTGAATGCCAGAGCTCAAAGCTACACTTACCCATCCCTTCCTCCTCCAGTTCTTCCTTTTCTACCAGGAAAAAACAAAGAACGAAGGAAAGCCTACCAGAAAATACTGGAGGAAAAATAATATTCTAACATAATAAAAACTTCAGAGCAATCAAGCAAATCAAAGATGAAAAATGTTCCTCAGTATTTTGAAATAACCTAAAAGAAATTAAGAAAACGGCAGCAAACCTGGGGCTGGAGGGGTTGCTCAACCATCAACAGCAGGCTTCTCTCGAGGACCTGGGCCAATTCCACCCACATAAGCAGCTCATGACCATATCTAAACTCCAATCCTCTTCTAGCTTCCACAAGCACTACACAACAGTAGTGCACCAACATACATGCAGGCAAAACACCCATATACACAAAATAAAAAATAAATTTTAAAAAGGAAGTAAAAATTGGAACAAAAGGTATAGCTAGACATCAGAAACAGTCAGTAAAATAAGAGTCCCAAATAAGGGAGAAAACTTGTTTCTTGGTTTTATTTTTAGAAGAAAAAAAGCAAACAAAACTAAATTATAAAAATGTATCCCCAAAAGTATCCCTTCAGAAAAAAAAAAAAAAAGGCCCAGAAAAGTCAGGTGATGGTGGTGCATGCCTTTAATCCCAGCATTTAGGAAGCAGGGACAGAACAATCTCTGTGAGTTTCCAGTCAGTCTAGTTTACAAAGCAAGTTCCAGAGCTCTTACACAGCGAAACCCCGTCTCAAACAAACAAAACAAAAAGTCTAGAAAAAGCATGTTAGAAAGTAAATGAAAATGATCAAAGATATCCAAAAAAGCAAAGCAGTAAATAGGTCAAGTCATGCTTCAAGCAAATCTTTCTAAATTAATCTTCAATCCACAGTAAGAGAATAAACAACATGCTAGAGAAACATACCAAGAAACGCAGGTTTTTGGTTTATTTGTTTGTAGCTCTGGCTACATGAAAATCACAATGTAGACCAGGCTACCCTAAAAATAAGAAATCCACCTGCCTCTGCCTCCCAAGCCCAGGGAATAAAGGAATAAACGAATGCACAAACCATGCTCAGCTTGTCTTTGTT